TAGATGCTACCTATAATGCAGAAATCGGTATCAGCTTTATATATATTTTATGGTGACCATAATATTGTGAATTGGCCTTCATTTTCATCTGAGTATTTTGATACATGGACAACAGGTAAAATTTGAGTTTTGCTTGCTTGTTTCCATTGGTTTTAATTATGGTCTCCTAACATGAGTATTTTCTACGCATCGGGAAAGCATGTTTTACTATTAGGTTGTCCTAAATTTCTTAATTAAAAGTCTACATATTTTGAGAGTGTCTGTCTGGTTCAGTGGGTCTCTTGATCTCAGGGTCGTTAGTTCAAGCCCCACATTGGGCCTAGATCTTACTTAAAAAAAATTTTTTTTATGTTTATTTTTGAAAGAGACAGAGATGGAGACAGAGTGTGATTGCGGGAGGGCAAAGACAAAGGGAGACACAGAATCCGAAGCAGGCTCCAGGCTCTGAACTAGCTGTCAGCACAGAGCCCAATGCGGGGCTCGAACCCACGAACTGTGAGATTATGACCTGAGCCGAAGTCGGACGCTCAACGGACTGAACCACCCAGGTGCCCCAATGTTAATTTATTTTTGAGAGAGAGACAGAGCGTGAGCAAGGTAGGGGCAAAGAGAAAGGGAGACACAGAATCTGAAGCAGGCTCCAGGCTCTGAGCTGTCAGCACAGAGCCAGATGTGGGGCTCAAACTCACGAACTGTGAGATCATGACCTGAGCCAAAGTCAGATGCCTAACTGACGGAGCCACCCAGGTGCCTCTAAAAAATTTTTTTCAAAGTGTACATATTTTTGGAAACAATTGAGCATAAGCTTGAAACAGTAGAGCAAACAGCATAAAAGAGTAAAGCACAAAAACTAAGCAACAAATATAAATACCATGGACATTTCAGTATTTTGCCCACTGATTCTTAACAGTTGGCTTATTCCTCTGGCCTGCTCTCTTCACACACAAACCTTTCTGCTGCTTCTTTCCTGGTAGTTCTTAAACACCAAGCAGACTGGTCTTATGTGACATCACCCAGTGGGGTTTGTTCAAAATCAGATTCTTAAATCCCACTCCCAAAGACTGATTTGGTAGTTTCAGGATATGGCTGGAAGTCCCTATTTTCATGATGACTCCTCTCCTGTTGCAGATGCAGGAGAGACTTGGGGACCTCGACCCTGTACCCTTACTCATGTTCTCACCCAAGCCTACCTCTCCAAACCCTGCTGGCACCTTGACTGAGGTGCCAAAAAACTGCAGCCACTGTCTCAAATGCTTATAACCACCCTGCCAAAGAGATAGTCTTTAAAAAATATTTGTTTAACGTTTATTTATTTTTGAGAGACAGATAGTGACAGAGAATGAGCAGGGGAGGGGCAGAGAGAGAGAGCGAGACGCAGAATCCAAAGCAGGCTCCAGGCTCTGAGCTGTCAGCACAGAGCTCGACATGGGGCTTGAACCCACGAACCGTGAGATCATGACGTGAGCCGAAGTCTGAGTCCGAACCGACTGAGCCACCCAGGTGCCCCCAAAGAGATATTCTTAATCCCATATTATAGGTGAGGAAACCAAGGCTCAGTTATGTTTAGTAGTTTGTCCAAAGTCTTCTGCCTCTTTCTTTGACAAGAGCATGTAGGGAATAGCATAGCTGATGTTCACTCATCTGTTTAAGTATGTAAAAAATCTCCTTGAGGGGATGGGCCCAACCCTGGTCCATCTAGGAGAGTCAGGGACAAGGAGCAGAAAGCCATTCGAAAGCTGTGAAGAAGGCTTATGGAGAGGACAGAGGAGATTCTCATGGAAACTAAACGTAGAAAATACAGCTTGGCTATTAGGAAACTGGATTAAATTCAGTCTTGGGTGTTTGAGGTACTTGTAGAGGAAATAGATAATTTTCACATATTTATTCTCCCAACCTACGTATAAATGGGTTACACGCATAGCTTTCTCCAGCCGGGCTCAGGAGCTGCCCAGAAGACAGGAATTGCCCTTTGTCTCCACTTAGCTGTATTAAGAAACATCTCAGGTCCCTCCTTCCTGAACAGCTGTCACTAAGGTGTCTCCTCCCAGCAGCACGCCTCCTCCCTGTTTTCACCTGGCTGCTGGCCTTGGCTGCCGAGAACAAAGGAATAAAGTGTTGCAAGGGAAAAGGGCCCTCTGTTCCCTAAAGGCTCTTTCATTCTAAATGAGAGAAGTCAACTCAAAACTGATTAAAAAAAATAAAGAAAAAGAAATTTACTGGATTATATAAATAGAAGGTTCAGGATTAAATCCAGCTCTGGAAGTGGCTGGGGGTGCGGGGTGGGGGGGCGGACCACAGATAAACTGTCCCAGCTTCAATAATTTTCCTACAGCAGGCATTTGATGAATATCTGTTGAACTGAATTAAGGCTATGAATTTTCCAGAGTCAAATTGTCTAAGTATAGAATTTGTCATATTTCCTGGTTCTGATACGCGAGGGTTTTATTTTTAAATATTTTAAATATTTTTATTTATATTCTATAGTACATAATATTTGATTTTATTTTGGATCAAAGAATATAGAAGCCAGATTTTTGTTTTTTTAATCTTCAACTAGTTGGGGGAAATTTGTGCATGTGTGTTTTTATTTTTTTTATTATTTGTTTATTTGTTTATTTTACTTCTAGATTTATTGCCTCCTGGTAAGACGCTGTGGATATATTATTTCTGTGTTTGCAATTTTTTTGTTTTTCTTTTCAGAAATTCTTTCTTTAGATATGTTTATATATTCAATCTGATTCCAGTCACAGCCGTGGGCTTGTTGGGAAACTGTTCTGTGGCTTTAGGGTCCACACAGCTTCCATACAGCTGGTCAAGTACATTTTGTCTCCTATACTTGAACTCCAGATGGAAAGATTATTTCCCAATTTTCTTTTCTTAATGTTTATTTATTTATTTATTTATTTTTTTGAGAGAGCGAGAGTGAGCAGGGGGAAGGGCAGAGACAGAGTGGGAAAGAATCCCAAGGGGCCTCCGTGGTGCTGTCAGCACAGAGTCGGACACAGGGCTCCATCCCATGAATCGTGAGATTATGACCTGAGTAGGTTGCTTAGCCAGCCGAGTCACCCAGGCGTCCTTACTTCCCCATTTTCAAACTACTTGGGGGTGAGAGACTTGTCTGTGGCCCTATATATTACAGGTCCCCGCTGAGTACAGTAATAATAGTGCATACCTACAGAGCTGTTATCAGGATTAAATGAGTTAATATGTGTAAAATGCTTAGCACTGCGCGTGCTCTATAGTAAGCCATCAGTAATAGCTCCAGATGATATTATGTTCTTTTTTCTGAACCTGCAGTTTTGCTCTCAGTACTAGTGCACTTTGATAGATATAGGGTAGTTTTTAATTACCCCCAACTTCTTTCTAACCAAGAAAATCACAACAACAGATGAAGAAGAAAAGGCAAAGAAAGGCTTCCCTACTGGGCATAAATGTGATGTAATGACTTTACGCAGCACCCCCTAACAACCACAATAACAACAACAAAAGCCAAGTTAATTTTGTTTTAAACATGTTCTACCGGGTTCTGTGAGAGAATTCACAGAGCTGCCGAGCAATGTGCTCACAGCTGAATCCTAATAACAAGAGATTCTAATTTTCTACCTGTTGAGGGCTTGTTCCTCTCCACCATTAAACTGTGTAAACCTTCTGGGCAGGGATTAGGCCTTTCATTTCTGGTCCTTACTGCTGTACACAGGTGCACGAGTTTTGTGGGGGTTTCGAGGTCCTGTACTGAAGTCCTCCAGACCTGAACCAAATTCCAGTTCACTCAGAAATTATAAGCTGCTTTAAGAGTTATGCTTGGGGCTCCATTCACTTTCTTGTTATCATTGGCCAATTATCCTGATCCTTATTCACATACGTATTTGGATAATAATTTCAGATGGTTGTGGGAAAGTGCTTTGTATAAGGTCTTACATACTTTATACCTCACTGAACCCACTTAAGAGCCCCTCAAGGTAGGTGAGTTTTCCTGATGATTACATGCGAGATAATGGAAAAGTAATCACCAGCCAAATTATTATTCCTTTTATGGATGAGGTAAGATTTAACAATGAGGTAAGATTTTAAAAATCTGTCAATAGTAACTAGCAAGTGGCGTCTGGTGATTCTTTCAATGACATTAATTTAAAAATTTATGAATTATTATTTGTTCTTATTGCAAGTCTATCAAAAATGACTAATGGTAGAGCGTTGCATTCCTTATTACTCTTGATTCTCAAACTACATATCCTAGTAAATACAATTTGTAAACACCTGACATTTAGTAATTTGTCAAACATCCTATCAGATCGGTGACTTCACAGCCCCTGGAAATTTTACTCATTTTCAAGTAGACGAAAACCAGAAGACTTCATGAGGCTGTGAAAGCCACCTGCCACACCTGTTCTCCATTTTCAAGGTGGTCTTCTGCTCTCCCTTATCTGAGGACAAATGTTTGACGAGAGATCAGTTTGCACTGTCGTAGTGACTTTGTTTACAGGCTTTCTCATACAGCGCTGTCAATTCTAAGCCTGAGGAGGCGGAAGGCCCAAGGATTTGTCATCCTTTGCACGGGTGCCTTCTCTTTTTTATTAGACTTTTGGTCCTGGGAGGGGTAGTGCAGCTGCGTGATACTGCATCTCCACAGCCCTCTGAATTTAGGCCAGCCTCATCCCCCACTGCCATCACTCCCTCCCTCTTGCGTTCGTATTTCTCCCAGTTGGATTTACTGCCTTGCAAAATTCTTGCGCCATTAATCGGCCGCCGTTCACCCCGCGGGAGCCAGACCCACCCGCCACCGCACGCACCCAGGGAACCCTGCGGGGCTCCGCCCAGCCCACACTCACGAGGAATCATTCCATTTCCTGGCGACCAATCAGCGTTCCGTACGCCGCCACGCCAGCCAATCCAAGGAACCACTCGTTGCCCAGGCCAACTTTGGCCACTTGCCCTCGGGCGCACCCGGCTTCGAGTTGCGGAAGAGCTTGGTACCTTCCAATTGGCTGCGATAGCGGCGGTGGCCCGTAGCCCATTGGCTGCTGCCGCCCCAGCCCCGGCGGACCCGGCAAGCTGAAGGAGCTCCGGAGCGTGCGTGTCGCCCCAAGCCGTGAGTCCCGTGCGCCCGGCGCGCCTAGCCGCGTACCGACGCCTCGCTTCATCTCAGGTAGTGGTGGGTGGAGGCGCGGAGTCGCGGCGGGACTGAGGCGGCCGGGAGGGAGGGCTACGGGGGCGTCCGGGGCGCCCGTCCCGGTGCGTTTTCTGGAGCTGCTCGGGGCAGCGGGGCGGGGGAGGTCGGCGCGGAAGTCATGGGTGGCTGTCCCCGGCGTCCGGGCGGCTTCAGCCCTTACAGGTGAGGGAGGAAAGGCGTCCCCAGAAGGATCCCAGGGCTTGCGCCTCGTCTCTCTGCACCGCTCACGGTGCAGCTTAAGGTCCTGGATGCCAGTTAGGCGTTTCTGCATCCGTTAAATGGGGAAGGGATAGTAAAAACCTCGCGTCCAGGGCCGCGGCGAAGATTCACTAAGGTCGTGTTCTGTGAGGGGCGCAGTGTTTCCTGGTTCGTCGTAGACGTACAGACAACGTAGGGTCCCATCTTCCCACACCAAGCTCTGAGTGATATTGGTAAGAGGCATCGTTTTCCGGGGCTTACAATCTTCCATCCTCACTAAATGTATTAACTCATCTAATTCCTCAATGAGTTAGGGTTACTATTATCCCTAATGTACAGTTAAGAAAGATTACCTGAGCTATTTTGGGATCAGGAGTCAGGACAAAATTACAAATTCAGTATGATGTCAGATTTTTTTAATGTAAAGTCTCTTCCAGCTTGTGGTGAACTTCCAGTGTTTTGCAGAACAGGCCTTTAGACTGGCAAGGCGGAAGCCCTGCGTTGGAATTCTGGCTCTATCGCTTATTGGCCGTGTGATTTTGGACAAGTGACTTAATTTTCTTTGTTACCACTTTGTAAAATCAGGATAATAGGATCAGCTTTGAAGTTTGTTTATGAGGATTAAATGAAATAATACAATTTAAAGTGGCCAGGAAGACTGATCACATAGTAAGTGATCAATAAATGTTAGCTGTTATTATTTTTAATAAAGAATTCGAGCATGAGGAACTCAAAACATGAGCTTGGACTCAAACTTAAAGCTGAAATACCGTTAGGTTTTTTTTTTTTTTTGAGAGAGAGAGAGCACAAGTTCGCAAGTAGGAGAGGGGCAGAGAGAGAGAGAGAGAGAGGGAAACAGAAGATCCCAAACAGGCTCTGCTCTGACAGCGCAGAAGGGGGCTCAAACCCACAAACTGTGAGTTCATGACCTGAGCCCAAGCCAAGAGTTGGTTGCTTAACCCACTGAGCCACCCAGGTGCCCCAAGAATCATTAGAATTTAATATTGCCTTTACTCTTGTAAGAAGACTCAACACTGTTGTAAAGCTAATACTGAAATAAGCTAAAGTGAGCACTGAAACAGAGGGAGGGACAGTGGTCACATTGTGGAAGTAGGCTTCCCTGTTGGATTCCTGCTATAGCCAGTCTCAAAAATGAGAACCTACTTTATTTGACTGATTTGGAGAAGCTAAATTACAAATTCAAGATTGATTGGAAATCAAGCATATGCCAAATTTGATGTTAGATGGACAATATAATTTACAAGGCCTTGGTTTGCACAATATCTTGGGGAAAATCTGTGACATATTATGATTTCCCTTGTGAGTCGGGAAATCAAAGTTTAAACAATTCTGATAATAGCTTCTTTCAGTGGTGAATTCTGACTTCATACTACATAAGTACAGATTTTTTTATGACATTCACTTTATATTAGGAGTTAAAATGTTTATTATGTTTCATATTTAAAATAGAACCTATGGCCATCCCCCTGTGATGTAAATTTAATGAAAAGTGGAGTTGTACTGGGCAAAGACTGTGGTACTGAAAGATGGCCATAAGACCATTTTTAACTTGGGCAGGCTGCCCACTTTACGATGGCAGCCACTGTCTACACTAGTGATTACTGCCAAGACATGGGCATAGGAAACATGAACAAAAAGGTTAGTTTAAAATAAGGGAAAAAATGAAAGTGGACATTACTGAGCACTGAGTAATAGAACTGTCAAAAGTAATATAACCTTTTCTAAGAAGCTGCTAGATTCTGATAGGATTAAGCGGTGCCTGTTCTCTGAAATGTAAGTGATGGCATTGGAGAGTTTCCCGGTGTAGGTCAAGAAAGGGAATAAAAGAATTAGTAAGGGGAAGTTCAGAATAGTATATACAACATTTTCCTCACATTCTTCACCGGTGGAGATTTCAGTAGAGCATATTGTATGCTTTCCTTTCAATTAATGTGAGTACCCTGCTTTATTAGGAGAGCATCAAGACCTTGATAATAACTCCATACTGCCTACCCCCCAATTCGGGAATATATTTTGAGAGATATGTTATGCCTGTCCAGACACAGATAGTTTAGACCGTAGCCATTATTCTCTTTTGGATTTAATCTTGCTGAAAAAAATCCATGCAAGAATGAACTGCCTGGTTAAATACTTCACTGGGCTAAAAAAGAGCTTTCTGAGTTTACACTTTGTTGTCCTTTCCTACCTCCTACTCCAGTACCCTTCGAGAGGCTCATTAATAGTTTTTAATGTTTTAGCTTTGGTTGTTGTAATTAAGAATTTATTTAAAAGGTGGAATAAGTCAGCTTTGAAAGCAAACACTGGATTATATCCATTTCTGTACTTCTAGGACCGAGTATATACTAGATGTTTGGTAAATAGACTTCCTTGAGAAATTGCTGTATTTAATTATGGCAGTGTACACCTTAGTCATTCAGAAACTCAAGGATGATCGGGGTAAATGGGCCCATCTTAGATATCTTGAGGTATTTCATAAGTGAGGCTAGTGCTCACCGTCTACCTATTTTTCCCACTTTTATTTACTGGGTTCCTACTGCATGCTAGACCTCAGGAGGGTAACATTGAACAAGTCACATTTCCTGCCCCAAAAGATTTACAGTTAAATTGGAAAAGATGACTAGTGAATAATTACAGAGTTGCTGTGAGAAACATTGGTGGAGGAGGGGGAAGCTAACCTAGTCTTTACGGGAGTCCAGGAAAGAAGAGTTGGAATTAGGCAACAGAGTTCAGCCAGATCATAAAAGGGCCCATAAGCCGTATTAAGGAGTTTGGACTTTATAGTGATCAGTAAGAGCAATCAGAAAGATTACTAAGATAAGCACCTTAAAGATTCAGATTCTCACCTTAGTAGGTAGTTTTCCTGCTTACATTTCTGTAATGGCTTTGCACAAATATAATGTTGTCTACAATAATAGCATCTTTACATTCCATCTTTGATTTCTGTCAAGGAGTTTAGAAAAAAATATCTTACCTGGCAGCCACAGGAACCTGGCAGGCCACCTGGGGGTTTACAGAATATTGTTTAATCATAATGATCCCAGGAACAGATAAATTAGTTTTTCAAGTCTTCTCTAAGAATTCATGCTTGTTTATAACATACCCTTGATTAAGGTCATTGTACTGGCTATCAAGTTGGCAGTCTCTTGAGGGGAAATGGGATACATTCCTGACTGGCATACTTTTTGAATGAGCTCATCCACGTTTTAGTCTATGGGTGAGATCTATACTTATTATACATTTTGCATCACTTACATAGATCCCAAATTCTCAATTACTGAGTTTTTTATATGTATACTTTCCTATGTTTCTGAAAGGATAGACCACCCCAAAATATGCCACTTTGGAATAGGGATTATTTTCAGCTGAAGGCAATTCAGCAGCAGATGCAGGAAGAGCTGTTTTCCTTCCCTTTACTGCCTAAAAATAGAATATAAACTTCCCTTTGTGAAGGTCTTCCCCCCACCTCTCCTAGACCAGAAAGGGAACAACTCATCACTGGAGACGGAGTTGGCACTGTGATTGTCTGAACAAACAAACGTTACTACAATAACCCTTATCTTCTATTAGTTTTCTCTCCTATATTTACTTCCTCATAATTTACCACCACGAGAAGCCCCCTCTTCCTTGGTCCTGTCACTTTTCCACAATTTATCACCCTTTGTTAGAATGGTGTATAAGCCCTAGGTCTAACTGCTTTTTTTTGGATCTCCATTTATTTATTGTGAAGGCTTCTATGCACACAAAAATTAAAATATCAATAACAAATAAAATGTATGTGCCTTTTCTCCTGTTAATATGCCTTTTGTCAGTTTAATTTGCAAGTCTCAGAGACAGAACCTAGAGAAAAAGGTTATTTTCAAAACACCACTACAGTTCTATATCATCTTATTGTTTATCATTTTTAATGTCTTGTATGCCCTGCTTTATGCTGTTTAGAGACTGACTACAATATTGATTTATTTCTGTCACCTTTACTTTTTAGGCCAGTGGTTCTCAACCCTGGCTGGATAACAGAATAATCAGCAAAGCTTTTTAAAGAACTTAGATTATGGGGGGTCTACTCCAGATCAGGGCCACTGAATCACACTCTCTGCAGTGGGCCCTGAAATCCAACATCTAAAAGCAGTGTTAAAGAAAACCAGAGGCAGATAGAAGTTAAAGTGGTAAAGGCAAAACTTATTCAAGAACTATTGCAATAGTGGGGGTGCCTGAGTGGCTCAGTCGGTTGAGCGTCCGACTTCGGCTCAGGTCACGATCTCGCGGTTCGTGGGTTCGAGCCCCGCATCGGGCTCTGTGCTGACAGCTCAGAGCCTGGAGCCTGTTTCGGATTCTATGTCTCCCCCTGTCTCTGACCCTCTCCTTTTCAGGCTGTCTCTCTCTCTCTCTCTCTCAGAAATAAATAAAACATTAAAAAAAAAAAAACTATTGCAGTAGTGGAGAATAAACCTCAATGTAGAACTGCACTCCATTCTGAATACAACAGGGATAAGTGGGGATTTGCAGCCAAGGAGCAGAGTGGGTGTCAGTGGATGGAAATTTGCTGAGAAGAAACATTAGGGGTAAGGGGAATTCTGGCTAAATTGACTTAAGATTCTTGCTGAATACCGGGCAGCGTGATAAGATCAAGGGTAGGATGAGGAATTTTTGAGGGTGAGGGGTTTTCCGTAAACTGGCTCAGCAGGATTCTTGCTAAAACTGAACTTTGGGGGCCAAGGACAAGCCCAAGAACAAGTCCAAAAAAGAGGACTCAGAGGAGAGGCTAGCGAGGGAATCGTTGTCAACAGCAACTACTACAAAATACAACACAGGTGATCCTGATGTATGCACCTGTCCTTGAGAATTATAGCCTCGTTTCCATAGAGGTTTGAGGCTTGACATTTCATTTTGATCTCTTCTTGATCTCCTTTGTAGTAGTAATTTGATGGTTCTGTAAACTGTGCAGCTTTTCCCCTAAAGCCTCTTCTCCTTTCTCCTTTTCCTGGAGTGCACCAAGGCACCAAAAGGACACAAAATTAAAATAAAACAATTGTTTTGAAGTAAACACAGTTCACCAAATTAAGGGCCTGTTGTGCTCCAGGCAGTGTTCTGGTAGGTGGAGAAACAGTGGTAAATAAGGCAGACAAAGGCCCCTGCTTTATTAGCTGAGGAGGATGTGATGGTGAAAGAGCAGAATACAGCACACCAATACATAAACAGGTTAATCTCAGATTGTGAAAAGCACCATGAAGAAAATAAAAGAAGGATATAGTGGCGACTTGCAGAAGGCTGTATTTTAAGACAGGAGGTTTAAAATGAAATTGTCATTACAAGTTATTAGTCATGCTCAGATTTGGGATCTAATAATGCATACATAGAAATAGCAAGTACAAAGCCTGAAGTCAGTGACAAGCTGGGCCTATTTGAGGGACAGAAAGAAACCAGTAGGACAAGAATATTGTAGGCAGTGAGCTGCGGTGCTGTGAATAGGAGTCTCTTAATTCCCATTAAGGGTGATTCCAAGGCTTTGACTTTGAGCTACTGGCTCAGTTACCATTGTAAAAGTAAATTGTTCAGATGGGGTGGGTGTGTCCAATTGAGGGAAGCCTGGGGAAGCAAGAGGTACCCATTGGGGTGAAGCTCTAACTAGACTTCTGGATCTGGGACTTTGGGGTGGTGTCTCTCCCCATTTCCCCCTCTCTCCTTCAGTCTTTCCACATTTCAGCCTCAGGGTAGTCAGATTTTTTGCATGCTTGCATATTGATCATAGACTCCTGGAGTGATTATTCTAAAAAAAATCTGCAGAATCTGCATGAACTTTTCTAACCCAGCCTCCAAAGTCATGCAGTCACAGACCACTTCTTGATGGGAAGTGTATCAAAGAGTTTACAGCAATGTTTTAAACCCCGTCGTCATTATGTTAAGTTTATTATCCTTAAGGCTAGTAATCATTGCTCTTTAAAAACATTGTTGAACAGTCGCTTATCTTTGGAATTCTTAATAAGCTAGTACTTTTCTTTTTTAGGTAGTTAAAATTATTGCCTTAAAATTATGAACTATTTATTTATGCTGTACTAGTAGTTCTAAAAGTCTTCTTATGACCTTCTTCCTTCCTTACAGATACTTTATGGAATCCTATAACATTTCACTGGATGAAATAAAATATTGAAAATGGTATATAGTTCGTCAAACTTTTGAAATTGTTCACAGTTCTGTAGCCCTGTCCTGAAAGGATGTATGAGCGGCTTTTTGCTTATGCTTATCATTCGTTTGCTAGAGTGAGTCTTAAATCTGTTGGATGTTAAATTAAAATTTTAATGGCTGAGGCTCTAAGGACCTTTTTTAAAGAATTTATTCCTTGTGTATTTATTTTTATAGTTTGGAAACAGCAATTTTTTTTCTTTAAGTTATCTAGAAGTCTATAATGTATTTCTTTTTATTATATTCTATTGGGAAGGGAAAATAGGTTAGTGTTTTATTTTTATATGAATAATTTTAATAGCTCACAATGTGTGATTCTTATCCTTGACTAGGTGTTATTTATCTTGGAAGCTGTTAGGAAAACTATGCCCAGGTCCTACTTTCTGAGATTCTGATTAGTTGGTTTGGGGTGGGATCCAGGTGTACCTTTGACAGCTCCCCAGGTGATTCTGTTATGAAGACAGATTTGTGACTCCTTGGTCTACTGAAGACAGATTTGCGACTCCTTGGTCTACTGCGTCGAACTGTGGTATTTGTTGATGCTAATCTTTGTCTTTGCAACAGGAAAAAAAAAGAGAGAGAGAGAGAAAGAAGAAAAAATGGAAGCCCTGCCCGATGCAGCTGTTTTTGCAACTAGACTTAAAAACACTCTTATCCAGTATCATAGCATTGAAGATGATAAGTGGCGAGTTGCCAAGAAAATGGTAAATTATTTAAATTGCTTCTATTTGGGGTTTGTCCTCTATCTAATGAGTTGGTTGATGACTTTCAAAACGGTAAGGGAAGGGGCGCCTGGGTGGCTTAGTCGGTTAAGCGTCCGACTTTCACTTAGGTCATGATCTCGCGGTTCATGGGTTCGAGCCCCGCGTCGGGCTCTGTGATGACTGCCAGCTCAGAGCCTGCAGCCTATTTCGGAGTCTGTGTCTCCCTCTCTCTCTGACCCTCCCCTGCTCACGCTGTCTCTCTCTCTCTCTCTCTCTCTCCTAGAAATAAATAAAAATATTAAAAAAAAAAAACGGTAAGGGAAAATAGGGACCATACTTTGGGTGGATGTGCAGGGATAGATAATTATGCTAATAAAGTCAGTGTTTTGACATCTCACCAAGGCAAAAACATAATAATGCTCTACTGCTATCATTACTGCTGTAGACAGTGGACATGAGAATAGAATCTTAGCAACAAGAGCCTAAACCTAAAGTATAGCTTCTGAAGTCAACATAGAAAATGTATGGATAGTTTGGAAAAGTTTCAGATATTTCAACAAGCCCGTGAGCTTGGCCGTTTAGTTTTCTTTCTTACCAGTGTGACTTGTCCAAACTGTCCCATGGCTGAGCATTGACAGAAGTAGCCCTGGAACCAGGACTCTTCCCATGAATCACTCTAGCTTGTCTGATGGCCAAGACTTCTTGGGAAATGATCAGAAAAAGGATGTAGGGACTAATTCAAGGTAGCACTGCCATAGTAGATGTGACTTGTTTGATTTAAAGGAAAAAAGAGCAAGGTCAGAATGAAATATTTAGCATTCCTATTGTCTTAGTCTAAATGTGTCAGTAATGGTAAATAGATAAGATTGGAGCAAGGCAAATAATAATGGCTGGCAAGATAGAGCCGTCACTGGATCTTAACAATGTTTGGATCTCATTAAGCTACTAAAAAATCTTTTTTTGGAGGTCTGTATTTGAAGTAAAAGGTGAAGAACTTTAGGAAACAGAAGAAATTCAGATATGGATCACTTGATGGCATAAATGACTTTTATATTTGAATATTTACTTAAGTTTTATTTTAATGCAAGGACATGCTCTACAATTTGAAATTGCTGGTTTTATGTTTACATTTCCAGCTAGGTGATTATTTATGTCCATGTACTGTTTTTTATTTTTCTAGAAAGATGTAACAATTTGGAGAAAGCCTTCAGAAGAATTTAATGGATACCTGTAAGTAAATTCTTGTAGTTTCATGTAACTCTTAAGATATTACCAAATTTTATATATAAATATATATATATATATGATCACTAAATCATCATTGCCAGTGAAATTTGGCTTTTAATATTTTAACTTTTCTGAGAAGCAAATCACCTTATGAATTCAAAGCCTTTAAAATGTCCAGATCCCTTGTGGACTGAGTTGGTGGTAAGGGAATCATAAATAATGATATCAAATGGCCAATAAAATCTTAATTTCTTAGCATGTTGAATAAGACCCTTCTATGTTTGTTTATTTTTGAGAGAGAGAGAGAGACAGCATGAGCAGGAGAGGGACAGAAAGAGAGGGAGACATAGAATCCAAAGACAGGCTCCGGGCTGAGCTGTCAGCACAGAGTCCAACGCGGGGCTCAAACCCACAAACCACGAGATCATGACCTGAGCCGAAGCCAGATGCTTAACCGACTGAGCCACCCAGGCACCCCTCTAAGAATTCATCTTAAAGAAATCATAAGAAAGATAAAGGTTGAGTACTTATCTCTTCCATCACAGCATTACTTGAATAATCAATAGTCAGAGAATGATAAAATTTTGAAATGTGGTGTTTTACAGTCTTTAAAAACTACGTTTTCAAATATTATTTAAAAACACAAGAATGTAAAGTGACTAAAGCAGAATACCAAACTGCATGTAGCACTATTGTGAGTTGACTTTAAATATATATAAAAAAATTTTTTTTAATGTTTTTATTTATTTTTGAAAGAGAGAGAGAGAGACAGAATGCAAGTGGGGAAAGGGGCAGAGAAAGAGGGAGACACAGAATCTGAAGCAGACTCCAGGCTTTGCACTCTCAGCACAGAGCCCAACACAAGAGCTCGAACCTACTAACCATGAGATCGTGATCTGAGCTGAAGTTGGCGGCTTAACCGACTGAGCCATTCAAGTGCCCCTATGCATTTTTGTATATTAAATGTTTTTACCTGGGGCTCCTGATGGCTCAGTCGGATGTGTGTCTGACTCTTGATCTCAGCTCAGGTCATGATTGCAAGGTTGTGGGATCAAACCCCATGTCCAGCTCTGTGCTGACAGGGCGAGGCCTGCTTGGGTTGCTCGCTCTCCCTCTGCCCCTCCCCCACTTGTTGGAGCACATGTGTGTACATACGCTGTCTCTAAAATAAAAAATATTAAAAATAAGTGTTTTTACTTACCACCAAATATACACCTCTAGATGGCAGTTTTATAGGTGATTTTATTTCCGTTTTTTGGTATTTACATATAGTTGAACATGAATTATGCCTTTTAACCAGAAAAAAAATAATTGTTTTTTAAAGCCAGTGGAGACAGTTGACTTGTGTAATTGCAGTGGAATGTTCACATCCTTGGGACTCAGCCCTTTTAAAAATGAAACTGCTCTGAAGTATAATACCAAAGATAGCATTTCCAGAAAGATGAGTTATATAATACTTATGTCAAGGACCAGGAAACTGGAGTTGCAGATTAAGCATTGTAAACAAGTGTGAATTAATCCTTTAGATCACTGATTCCCGGTGAGGTTTGAAAAGCATAACTGCACTGACAGTATGGAGTATGGAGCCTGCTTGGGATTTTCTCTCTCCTGATGTCTGCCCCTTCCCCATGCACAAGCATACTCTCTTCTCTATCTCTCAAAATAAATAAATAAAATTTAAAAAAAAACAACAAACCTTTTAGAAAGACTCCCCGTCCTCCGGGAAGTTACTGATAGAGTTAAAGCCAATCTATCATTTGTCTTCTTTCTTCCCCAGAGATAACTAGTATCTTAAAGGGTATATTATTTCTCTTATATTCTTTGACCACATATAAGTGTGTGTTTCTTTCAGGAACTTCCTTTGTTTTTTTTTTCCATTTAACATTGTGTTTTCAAGATTTAGCCATGTTGTTACGTGTAGATCTATTCTTTCATGTTCATAAGAAAATACTGTGATGTCTTTACCTGTATTTGCAAATTTGCCTGTGGTACATTTTTAGGTTGTCATCAATTATTCCTTATAAAGTACAGTGCTATAGTAAACTTCTTAGGTATACGTCTCCTACACACGTGTGATTTTCTTTGGGTGTGCACCTGGGTCCCTTACACTAGACATTGCTCTCTAAAGTGGTGGTAGCAAATTGAGAGTTCTCATTCCCTTCCATTCAGTATGAGTTAGTTTTTAATCTCTGCAAATCACAGGGGTATGGGATGGTATCTTGTTGATATTTACTTGATTATGAGTGAAGTTGAGCATCTTTTCTAAATTTATCAACATTTCAGATCAATCTTAACATATCCTTTGCCCATCCTTTCTTTAGATTGTCTTTTTCTCATTGGTTTATAGGAATTAATTATGTACTCTCTAATAATTATGTCTGTTCATCTGTGTTGCACATGCCTTCTTCCAGTCTGTGCTGGTTTTAAAAGAAATTTATATACTTTGTCATTTGTGATATACAGGTTTTTAACTATCTTGCATTATTTGTGTTTTTTTGTGATTTATGTTTACAAAGATGTATTTTTCTCAAAGTTTTAAATTTTATGCGGTGGTTTTTCATCTATCTGGAATTAATTGTTTTGAACGCTGTCAAGTAGTGATTCAGTTTTTAATTACTCTGTTAGGATAAGTACTGGAAGTACATCCTTTCTCCATTGATATATAATGCCACCTTTGAAACATGTCAAGTTCTGATAAAATTCATGAGTCAATCTTTAGTGTTCTATTCCTGGGTGATCTGTTTTTCTGCTCCTGTAGTAAGTTTTTGAAAGTTAGAGTAAAAATATATGTATACTAAGAGCATGTTAGAGCATAACGGAAAGAACAGCTTTCAAAATAAATGAAGCATTAATGTTCTGTCATCCGTTTTCAGCTGTCCCATAACATGAAGGTACTTTACTGTGTTCAGGACAATATAATTTAGCCTTGGACATCTTATTAGATGTGAGGGCAAACAGTACATTCTGATAAAATAATTGATATCCCTGAATTTATCAGAAAAACCATAGAAATTCACTGCCTTTAAAAAATCTTTATTGGAGCACCTGGGTGGTTCAGTCAGTTAAGCGTCTGACTTCGGCTCCGGTCATGATTTCACGGTTTGTGGGCTCAAGCCCCGCGTTGGGCTCTGTGCTGGCAGCCAGCTCAGAGACTGGAGCCTGCTTCAGAGTCTGTGTCTCCCTCTCTCTCTGACCCTCCCCTGTTCATGCTGTCTCTCTCTCTCTCTCTCTCAGAAATAAAACATAAAAAAAAAAAATCTTTGTTAACTTTTACTCTTCTTAAAGTTAGCTGTGAACAATGTGGACATGCTGAGAGTTTTCATTCTAATAGCATTTGACTTTAATATTTTTTCTCCAGCTTCAAAGCCCAAGGCGTTATAGATAACGTCGTCAATAGTGTAGTGGACCATATACGCCCAGGTCCCTGTCGCTTGGATTGGGACAGCTTAATGACTTCAATGGATATCTTGGAACACTTTGAAGAGGTATTTATTTAGAAACATTACTGCAGATTGTGTGTGTGTGTGTGTGTGTGTGTGTGTGAAAGAGAGAGAGTGAGCATGTGAGCGTGAGGGTGTATACACACTTGTATTCATTGCTTGGAGAGTAGGTAGTCCTGGCAAAGATCTCATAGGGGAATCCTTGCTGCCTTTTAAAAAGCTTGAGTTTCCTCATATTAACTAATGAATGTTAGAACTGAATGTGTTTTTCACAGCAGCTCTACCTTTGCTGCTTAAGAAAATTGTCAGTGTCTTTAACGGTAAAACTTTAAGTTGAGGTTCTGAAATATAAAATTCTGAAAACAACACCGTCACATTCAGCTATCTAGGTAATTGTATGTTTTTCCATTAATATTAAGCCAAAATTAAAGACCAAAGATAAAAATGCCACCTTAGGCATTAGAGAATTATGTAACCATAGTGGGTTGTCCTCTTTTTCTATTTTTATTAATTCATTCTTGCCATGTTTGAATTTCTTTATTGAACCATTTAGTGTTTTAGTACAAGTATTTGGATTTTATTTTAAACACTTAGAGTCTACACTATCTATTTCCATGTTGAATATCATATAGGATGAAAGGCCATTGTATTGATTTAGAGATTTGGATACTGGGCAGCTTAACTCTTTGTGTTTTGATCATATATTTTATTCACGACCATACAGTAGCAGTGATATTTAGAATAGAGCTCTTAACCTGTCGGAATCACTGTAAGAATTATTCATAATAACTGTAATACATTTTAAGTCAGTATCATTTTTTAATAAAGATTAATTAATGATACAGGAGTCACATATGTTTCCTTAGTAGTGCCTGTTACCTGTTCTCTTTCAGAATTGCTGTGTGATGCGTTATACTACTGCTGGCCAGCTTTGGAATATGATTTCCCCAAGAGAGTTTGTTGATTTCTCCTACACTGTGGACTATGAAGAAGGGCTTCTATCCTGTGGTAATGATATCAAAACCTTATACTTTCTTTTCATTTGTTTTAAATATTTGAGTTTTCTAGGCTGGATGTTTCTTTCTACCTGAGCTATATTTTCAGCCTTCACATTTATTTTGTAATCACTTTAAGCTTTGTAAACATCCTAGAAAGTGTTTTGAAATCTTTCTGATAAGTTTTTATTTTCAGTTACATAGTAGCTTCCACGTCATGGCTAACAAATATGAATTAAATAACTGCCTCTAAGAAAGGGATGTAGTAAGTAGATTTCCATCTAAGTCACTCTCAGAAAGCAACTTCTTAGTCATTACATAGAAAGAATAGACTTGGTATGTTTTAGAATATTTTTCCTTCCTTGAGCTGTGTGATAGTTGTCTTTTAAAAATTAAAAATACTGCTATTAGAAGGCTCCTGCTTTCTAAAATATATCTATAGGTAAATTTTTTATGTTTACTATATACGTGAGTTGGCAGTTGTAGGAAAGTAAGTATCTACTTGTTTACTCTTAACCAGCCAGTACCAAAGTTGGATGTGGCAGTGCCGTCAGGGAGTAGTGGTGGTGCCATAGTTTTGATTTTTGGCACCTTGAGGCCTGGGTGCTACAGCCACGATTCATAGTTTCCAAGGAGTTACCAGGATGACATAATGTTACCTATCCTGATGGGATTAGAACTTTCCCCATTAACTACTTACCAGCCCCCTGTCAGAACTCCAGCTGGTGATTATCTTTTTCATTTTCCATGGTCACTCTTGGGGCTTAGTTTTCATCTACACGGATAAGAAGAAAAATATTTAAACAAGAAATCTGATAATAATTTTAATGAGAGTTTCAGGTTAATCTCAGCCACTGCTAAGTGTTATTTTAAAATTTCCTTGTAGGGGTAAGTCTTGACTGGAGTGAAAAGAGACCAGAATTTATTCGTGGATATAACCATCCCTGTGGTTGGTTTTGTGTTCCGCTTAAAGACAATCCCCACCAGAGTCTTTTGACAGGCTATATTCAGACGGATCTGCGTGGGATGATTCCACAGTCTGCAGTCAACACAGCCATGGCAAGCACTTTGACCAACTTCTACGTTGATTTACGAAAAGCCTTACAAAAGGCATAGTATGTTTAAACTTGTACTAGTGTAGTCCCCAGAATCAACTTCTGCTCTCAGCTGCACGGCCTCTAATACTCATCCTTCCCTCTTCTCCGTGTAGCCTGCGGAAACATTTGAGATGATTTATTGCTTTATTTTATTCCCCAACTAAAGAGTTATCCAAGAGAGGGCATTTCAGCTTTCTTAAGTAATTACTTGCCACAGGGTTTGGGACAGCAGTGTGTCTGGCACGGAGGGTATGACAGAGATCCATGAAGAAGTAGGTATACTTCTTTGACCTCAACTCTTAAGAAACTGAGTAGTGCCTCAGTATGAATATTTTGGCTGCTTGGAAATTAGAGAAAGCACAAGCTTCATGCTATTAGTTAAAATATATTTTAGAGGTTTATGAACATTTTGTGAAGTTTTAACTTTTTTCGAAGTTTAATATTAGTGTTTCACTTTGGTATGCTGTATGAGTTTGCCAATATCTTGGACTAAAGAAAAAGCTCTTTATATTTTATAAAGGTGAACATTGTCAGTTGAATTGCACTACTTTAAGTATTGGAAAAATCAGAAATAAGAAAAGAATAGATAAAATAACTATAGACACAAGTCAAACACAATTCTGTTTTGATATCTAGATAACATAATTTTGTGGATGTCTTAAAAATGTATTTGTATCTTTCTGTGAATTTATTTTGGAAATCTTAAAAAGTGTTTATATATGGATAAGATAGTACAAAAACTGCCAAATGTATTGGGAACACCACATTGACTGGGTTGTGTGAAAGGGTCGGTAGTATCCTATATTTACCAATAGAAAATTGTCTGTCTAGAAAGTCAGATTCAATGAATGTTTCCTTCATGTTTCATTTTTTTTTTTTTAAAGATAAGCCCTCAAGAAATAGCTTTAATTCTGAGAAGTATCCAATATTCTTTAGGAAAATAATCAGATTTTCAGTCTTTCTCGTTTGACCCATGTTCATGTTTCAAAGTATCACTCACCTCATAAAGTATTACTGACTACATCATAAACATTCACAATTGTGACAGATCTTCAGTCTGGAGCTTTAACAAATGCGTTCATAGATTTATCCACATGCCTGGATGAGTCATTTTATAACTAGCATGGACAATAGGTCCCTTGAGTCTATGGCTGCCTTAAATGAACACTCCTGAATAATTTTAACATTCCAAATGATTCCTTGGCTTTTGTACTAACCACCTGGTTTACTTCTTTTTTTTTTTTTTTTTTTTTTTTAATGTTTTTTTTTTTTTTTTTTTTTTTTTTTTTTTTTTTNGGGAGGGTCAGAGAGAGAGGGAGTCACAGACTGAAACAGGCTCCAGGCTCTGAGCTGGCAGTCAGCACAGAGCCCGACGCGGGGCCCGAACCCACGAACCGCGAGATCATGACCTAAGTGAAAGTCGGACGCTTAACCGACTAAGCCACCCAGGCGCCCCCCACCTGGTTTACTTCTAATATGAGACCTTGAGGCAGCTCATTCAGTGTACGCATGAAAATGTGTGTATTTATGTTTGTGTACGGGCACACGCTTTGAAATCTATCTTTGTGTTCACTGCGAGTTCTTCATGTGACACTATTACTGTTTCCATTATTTTGTTTCTCCTCCTCCTCCTCCCCCACCCCCTCCTTCCCTTTTCTCCCTTCTCCTTCCCCACCCCCTCCTTGACCGCTCTCCCCCCTCCCCCTTTCCCCTTCTTCTTCTCTTTCCCCCTCCTTCTTTTTCTCCTCCTTCTTCTACTCTTCCCCCCCTTCCTCCTCTTCCTCCCCTTTATTCTCCTTCTCGTTCTTTTCCTTCTTTTTTGATTAATGTGGGGTTTCTTATATTCCAGTGTTCTGTCTAGGATGGCAAATTACCAGCAGAGGTCCAATTACAGGGTGCCCAGATTGGGTGAGGGATTATGTGATAATATTGCCTGAACTGGGGACCCCCAAAGCAAATAAACTGTCCACTGTCCAATAAAGTCAGTGACTTTAATGTTCTCTCTGTCCTTTTATACCTCCAATTATTGATTACGTAATCATTGTTGAATTGGACCCATTGCACATAAAAGGACACTCATGGAAAAATTTTTATTGCAATATTGAGTCATATGATAGTTTGAAAAGTAGTATTTGAATCACCTGAAATGTATATGCGGCTTCTGGATGGCACTTTAGATCTGCTGGGCTCTAGCTATACTTTTTTTTTTTTACAACAGTTTATTGAAATATAATTTACATGCTATACAACTTACTGGTTCTAAGTATACAATCCAGTGATTTTTGAATACATTTATAATTGTGCAGCCATCACCACAATCCAGTTTTAGAACATTTCCATCAACCAGAAAGATCCCTTTGCCTGTTTGCAGACTCTTATCTAACAAAGTTTAGCACAGCCGCCAGTATACAGAAGAGAGATGAGAAAGATTACCTTGGGTTTTGTTTTTAAGTGTAGATTCTAAGCTCAGGCACTTCATGGTGATGTTTTAAATGTGTTATCTCAAATACCGCAGTTATACAAAAATTTAATGGTATGGATTGGGATTACTAGTAACATATAATGAAGTCTACTCTTTCTGTAGCAGTGCTGTAGAAGAATAGAAAACTAATGTGAGCTGTATATGTAACTTAAAATTTTCTAGCAGCCACATGAGAAAGCTAGAAAGAAACGGCTGAAGTTGATTTTAATAATGCCACTTACTTAATTCAGTAGCTCCCAAACATCATTTCAACAAATAAGCAGTGTGAACCTTTACTAAGACAGATTACTTTCTTCTTTTGTACTAATTCTTTGAAATCTGGTATGCTTTTTACTTACCTGGATTAGCCACATTAAAAAAATTGCTTTTAAAATCTTTGTTATTGAGAGAGAAGAGACAGAGTGTGAAGTGGGGGAGGGGCAGAGAGAGAGAGAGGGAGACAGAATTTGAAGCAGGCTCTGGGCCCTGAGCTGTCAGCACAGAGTTCTTCACGGGCTTGAACTCACAGATGGTGAAATCTTGACCTGAGCCGAAGTCAGATGCTTAACCAACAGAGCCACCCAGGTGCCCCTTGGATTAGCCACATGTTAAGTGTGCATTATCAACACTGGGCCAGTAGCCTGTATTTAATAGCACATTCTCTAGTATATGTATTAATTTGTGTTTTTACAAAATGAATTAATGAATTTCATGGAATTGCTCTCTTAAATACAAAGTGTTTTCTGATCTCTGGAGCCTTCAATGCTTGTTAAATGGGGACTTATGAACATTAGAAATAAATCAGTTTGTAGCTGTTAATAATATAAAAGTTATAGCCAAAAAATGTTTTCCTTCCAAGATAATTAATTTTTCAGAGGACAGTTAATGAAAAAATATAATCTGCCTTGTTAGGTGGTTGATTATTTTCTCTAGCTTATAGCTAGTTTGTATTAGAAACTATTTACATAGGGAGTACTTGGCATCGTACTGTTTTCAGTACTTGTTACCTATTTTTTAAGGATATTAGTTTCATACCAAAAAGAATAAGTGATACCTTTGCATGAAGTATCAGTTTGTACTAACTCTTAATTAGCCCTTGGAGTTTAACATAATACTTAGCAAAAATAATTGCAGGAATTTAGTGGTTGCAGTTATGTATAATATGAACTGCTAGAGACTGTAGAGATTGTTAGAGATTGTAAATGTTAAAGGTCTCTTTATCTTACTGCTCATTGATGTTGGATATATTTGAAATTGTACATTTCAAACTGTAAAATTATCTCCCAGTAAAAATAAGTTTTGTTTTCTCCCTCTTCCCTCTTTCTTTACTAACTGAAGGACAAAGTATCAATACTCAGGTTGAATTTAATTAACATCTCAAAAACCTCTGTAACGGAGGTTGCCTCTGGAGAAGATAGGAAAACATTTAATTGTCTGTTGAGCTTTTAGGTATGAGTAATTCCCTTTGATGTAGACAAAAGCTTTACCTGTTTACTCAAGAGCACACTAGCACCCTTAGAATCACTGGTTAAAATCCATATCCTTTTACTTACATGGATATTGCAGGTATACCAACCCAGTGGATAAATTACAAAACCCAGAGTTGGGGGACTTGACCAGGTTTCCTTCAGAACGTGTGTCGTATTATCACTCGTCTGCTATATCTCCCTTGCCTTTCTTACTCAGCTTCTAGAAGTAGGGGGTGGTGGGATCTGAGCATAGAAGAAACACAGGAAGTTAGAATTCTGATTTCTTTATTATTTTGTTGTTTCCAAAGATTTTACTGTATAGGCAAATAAAAGTTTGTCTCTTGCAATTCAATAAAAGCTATACTATATATAGATTTTATTTTTTAAAAGTTTATAATTCTTTCATGAGCCAATATGAAGCTGGAACCTTTAATAAAAACATGTTCTAATATAAACTGTGTATTTATTTTTAAATTGCTGTGAAATATTTCAGAATAAAATTATTAGACACTCATTGATACTGTCTGTGTGAGTTGCTTTAACCTTAAGTACTTAAGCAAATATCTAAACTTAAAGTATGTAATTTAACTTCTTAAATGCTTACAAAAGAAAAATATAAACTGGGAAATAAAGATTAACAGCTCACATGCGAATCTCTCACCAAAGTCTCATGTAATATTAGCCAAAATACTGCTGAATTTTGGTTTGCTATTATATAGCCAAGATGATGATAAATGTGTTATTCCCTTATTTCAGTAACATATACACAGAGTTTATTGTGCCCATGTTTAAATAACTGTGTTAAATTGGTTAGGAGTCGTCATAATTTCATGTGAAGTTGAAGAAGCCAGAAGTGAAGTGATGACACAGACCCTTGATCTATGTTACCACAGAGTAATTATGGATGCTGTGGGCAGTATGCACTAGAAAATATGACTATGACATGGTTTCAACAGTGATTTTTCTCATTTAATAAAAAATCTGGATATAGGTAATTTAGTGCTTATCAGCTCAAAGATGTCAAGGCCGGAGTTTCTACCATTTTTATCTTTTTCTCATAATGATAAAGGTGACTGATGATTGACTAGCCCTGAAAATTGCATGTGCATTCAAGTCAAGAAGCAGGAGAAGGCATGGCACCACGCACTGGTCTCTTCTATCAGGAAAGCAAAAGCTTTCCCAGAAGCCTCCACTAGCTTTCCTCTCCAGTGGTCTCTGCCACATGACCAGCCCTAGCTGGAAGGGTGGTTAGGGAGGCAAGCACAAGAATTTCCAGCCTCTTGAAGAGAGGGATGGTGATGAATGACTCTTTGGATAGCCAACCATAGCAACTCTTAGTGGATCAGCTTTGGAAAGTATGTGTAAGGCCCCTTCAGATGTCAATAGGACCCTGATAAGACTACCAAAATAGAAATGAAAATAGCGAAGTAGTCATTCACTTCATGAAAAATTTATTGGGCCTCTTTTACATGACAGACACAACATAGCTGTCCTTGGGAGCAATGGAGCTTCCTCCATAGGTTGTTAATTTTTAAAAAAATTTTAATGCTTATTTTTGAGAAAGAGACAGTGTGAGTAGGGGAGGGGCAGAGAGAGAGGGAGACAGAATCCAAAGCAGGCTCCAGGCTCAGAGCTGTCAGCACAGACCCTGACGCAGGGCTCAAACTCACAAACTCAGATCATGACCTAAGCCGAAGTCTGACGCTTAACTGACTGAGCCACCCAGGCGCCCCGTCTGTAGGTTGTTAATGGCTGGTGTCACATGGCATTCAACGTGAATGACCTATGTTACTAGTACACTATAATATTTTTAGAATATAAAATAGGTGTTATTCTATTACACAGGATATATTATTCTATTCCCCTGGAGCAAAGGGTCCACTATGGATGAAGGCTTCTATAGCTATGAGATGACAAAATTGCCAGAAAATATGAACTGCAAATGTATCCCGG